AGATGGCTGCTATGGTATCTCTTGTGCTTGCCAAGGGGTTGTTTGGTGGCTGCTATGGTGTACCAGGTGGTTGCCATAGTGTTGCTAGGTGATTGTTTTATATACCACCTAGGATGTGATTTTGTTGCTAAGCAGTTAAAATGGTTGCTAGGATGCTGACAGGCAGTTGTGGGGCATTCCAGGTGGTATCTGTGCTATCCCAGGTGGTTGCTAGGCTGTTGCTAGTGTACTTTTATCATGGAGACATAAGAGGGGTATATAAAACATTTGCCCACAAACTTCTACTATTCCTATGGGTTAAAATCTGAATTTAAACAGTTGCTATATAGAAACTGTACATCCAGTCCAAAAGCTGTATAGAAGTCCACAAGTCCGAGTTCAGTGCTGACATCTTCAAAATTGTGGGACGAGTTAGAAGAAATTCTAACTCATCCCACAGAGAAGAATGTAAATCAAATAACAATAGTGTTGCAATGCTCAGTTACTAATAAGATTTATCAGCATCCAAACCACAGTTTTTATGACCGAACATGTTGAAAACAGATCTCATATTCCTGAAATATAAAAAGAAACAAGAACATACCAGTGGTCAAGGGCGTGCCTAGACTTTGCAAACACCTGGGGCTCAGCCTTAGATGAGATGTTCTCGTATAAATTATGTAAATGTTCATGAAATCAGAACAAGAATAAAATCAGATCTTACTGTGAGGGGCCATGCTCTATTCATGCCATTATACTGAAACTTTAACTATACATAACCTACTGTTGCATATGTAAAGTCTGTTTAATATGATATTACTATTATTAGTTTCATACCTAATAAATAGATACAATTATTGTAATCGTTATAATTGTAATTATAATTGTTTCCTGCATCTCCACTCTTTTAATAATCATTCAGCTGGCTGGACAAATTGTCTAATTTACCTTTACTCTGGGCTTGAAGTGGGAACAGAGCCTGCAAATGAAGTTGCTGACCTCTACAACCCTTAAACCAATATAGTTATTAGTAGGGCTGTCATCATGAAATTTTAACTTTTCTGAGCATATCGTGGATATCGTCAGTCCATAAAGAACTAACTACATGTTTAAATAAAAAGTGAGCATAATTACTCCTGGTTAACTGGATTTAGTTTGCATTAGCTAGCACTGATTGTACTGTTGAATTAGTACTGCGCAGTAACACAGAATTATGTGTAGGGTCAAGCAAAGCTCTTCTTCACAAGAGTGAAAATGTAGGCAAAAACACTAATTCTGCTAGCATTCATGTTAAAAATGTCAAAATTAGCTACCTGGCTAACAAATAAACATTATTCCGTGTTACCCTCTGAACATGTTTGAGCACCAAGTAAGATCTTCTTTGTCTTTGTTTTCATAACCCCCAATGATGTGTCTCAATAAACACTCCCAATTTACATATTGTTTGTTGCAGCATAAAATGACTGAAATCTAACGGCTGTGGAAAATGATTGCAGTGAACTTAAAATTGTTATCGTCTCAAATAATTGTGATTGGGTATATATATAACTGTGTTCAATAGATAACAGCTATATGTAGTGATAAACTGTATATACTAAACACTAGATTACATTATTTACACAACCTTTTTTAAGTGTGTCTTTCTAAACACAACAGCAACTTAATGTTAGCAGTAAAAGTGAACAAAGTAATAAAAATTAAAGGGCTTGAAGACTGACCTAGCTATAGGTAGAAGAATGTTTCGCTTCATGGTATGGAGACAAATTAATGTCAGATTTTCTGTCACCTTCGTTCTTTGATCTGTACAGTTACACCTTGCAATGTTAACAATACACATTTTATTTTTGCTATGTCAGACTCGCAAGTAAACTCCTACTTGAAAGATAAAAAAACAGAAATGAAGGGCTGGAGGAGCAGACTAGATCAAAACTAGATTAAAATCAGGTTTGGGACAGGGCAATTTAAAAATGTTTCACAGTCTAGTGAAAATGTAATGTGTAATGTTTCTGCATGAAATTCTTATAATTTGCCATTTAAAAAAAGCCCAATGGCAAATAAAAGAAAAAAATGGCTTGCTATAGCCCAATATCCAGGGCCTAGACATGCCCATGCCAGCGGTGCAATTTCCTACCAATCCTTAGAACCACCATCACTTGAACATGAGCGGTGCAGTGGGCAGGCACCTACACTGTTCTCCACTGTGGAAGGTGGAGTTTGCCAGGACTTGTTGCTTGTTGTTGAAATTCAGGCTTGCGGAAGATTTAAGCTGGGAGTGGCTATCCCTGCTTCTGGAGAGCTTCCCTACCGCAGAGATAAGCTGTAACCCTAATCTCAAACACTTTACATTAGTATGCAGATGCTTTTGAAAACCCTGACTAGCAGGATCAGGTTTGGTAAATCAAGAATGCAAACTAGAGCTTGTAGAGATGTATCCTGCTCTAACACACTAATAAACCAGGTAATTAACTGATGAGTTAAATACACAATATAGCCAAAAGTATGTGGACACCCCTTCTAATTATTGGGTTCGGTTGTTTCAGCAACACACACTGCTAACAGGTGTACAAAATTAAGCACATATGCAATCTCCATAGATTAACACTGGCGGAAGAATAGGTTGTACTGAAGACCTTACAGCTTTTGTGCAAGAGTATTTTTTAGCATGTAGTTTGTTTGTCATCATTTCCAGCACTGAGGTTTTACGAGTTTCCCATCACACCGCTGACTGATCATTTGTAATGCCAGGCCACATGGGTGGAGGTGGTGACTGAGTTCTCCCTGTTCATGTCCTGCTTTTACACGCTCTCTCTCTTAGGCCTCCAACCAGCCTGCTTGGCACTGCACAGCTGCAGCAGGCATAAGTACACTGTGCTGTTGCTGTGGTCAGCTCCACATATTGTAAGGCCAGAATGCTTTTTTCTAGGCGGGGACATAAAATAACAGGAAGTGATCGCATCTGGTCAAAGCTGATATCATATGTAGTGCCCTCTCATTCTCTCTCTCACTGTTCCTTTCTCTTTCACACCCTTTCTTTTCTTCATGAGCTGTTTTATTTCTCTCTTTCTATATCAAATTCATAATTAAAAAAAAAACAAATAGAATCTCTGTCTGGAAAGCTAAGTTTCAAGGAGATGGAAAAATGTTCCATGCATTCTGTCCTAAAACTAGCATTTAATATTATATTTGTTGTGTTATTGCAGTATTCTGTAGAACAACATGATATGCCTACAACACACACCATGTGTTGAGCAAATATATCAATTTTAACATAAAACCTTTGGGAATCTCTGCAGTGCTCTCCCAGTCCTGACTGCGAGTCTAGCCATTGAGCTAATAAATACAACCAAGCTAGTGTTAGTGTAACTCATCGATTCTACCTTGGTTATCTATTCTATCTTTATTCAGCTCAAAATGGATGCCAGAGATAAGTTTTTTACCTATTGAGACAAAGAAAATAGGCCAAACTAAGGAAAGAAATCTAGATTGCCAGGTAGATTTTAGCTTGTGTTCCTCTTTACCTGATGATTTCTATTATTCAAGGAATCGTTTCTCGTTATTGTAGTGATGATGTGAACAGTTACCACAATTATACAGTTGCATATCAACCAACATCAAATCAACCAACCAACATACAAAACTAAATACAGAAACAGATTTTAGCTAGCAGAAGGCTTTGTTTACCTGTTCTGTGTTTAATATTCACTGTAACCGGACTAAATTCTGTCGTAGGCTGACCTGAGCAGATAACACGCTACTCCAATCATATCCAGAGACAGGAACAAGAGTTCAAATAGCCAAGTTTCAATGTAAAACCCACCATCTAATGAAATCAGAAAAAATCCCATCAGCATTGTGCTACTGAATAAACAGACTACTTATAGTGCACATTCAGAGACGCAAAAAGTGGGGGTGCTGAGGGGGTTTTCAGGACGGCAACTGTTAATAATAATAAAAATTATAAAATGCTCTGGACTTTATGTTCTGGAGTAATTTGAGGGTAGTAAAGACCCCTCTCATTGTGGAGATCTGCGCAAGTGCAGTAGCAGAAACAACCTGAAAAATCACTTTTTTATGCATTATTTGCCATTCAAAGAGAGAGGAGCCTCGTCTTGTATGGCTGGAAATAACTGCCCAGCAGCATTGCAAAGATGGCCGCTGAGTGAACAGGCTTTCCCAAAAGGACTTTGGTGTCACTCAAATACATGCACATACACTGCTTAAAGGTTGAGGTTGCGTAAAGCTGAGGGTAAGCCGAGGGTAACTGCTGCGCTAATGAACAAACCCAGTATAGGAGGCTTTGATCACACAACGAAGTGTTACTGACTCCATGGAGTTCGGACACAAAGTCAGTGGTCACTTTAAATATTCTGCCTTGGAAACTTCCCACCAGGAATTCACTGCGATTTTAGCCGATTAAAACTCATGCCTGTGCCTGTTTTGAGTGGCACGTGTCGTTTCTATGTGGCAGGTGCCACTAATCGAGCAGCAAGTGCCACTCGTTACCAGTTACTGATGACACTTTGTGCTGCCAGGTGACAATCAGAGACTGAACCCTTGCTGGGCAGGGGAAGCAAGACTCCTAGAAATGTTCAAGTCACCGTTCCATTTCCTGGTGAAAAAGAGTTAAAGGCCATGACATTCTGAGAGATCATTCCTCAACATTCTAGTGTTGGCAGTCAGCTTTATACTGCTTAAAATCAAGAAGCAAAATGAACCTGTGTGAATAAGGGGGAACATACTAGAATATTCTAGTATTGTAGAGACTCCCAACAATGGTATGGCACACCAACCCAACATTTGAGTTTGTGGGTGTTTGTTGAAAACATTAATTTTGTTAATTCTGATTAATATACTCAGGGCGTAAGATATGTGAATGAAAGAAATATGTTATAAATTTATGGAACTGAATTGCATCCAGCTCTGGAACTTAAGACAGGTTCTCCAGCTGTGGCTGAGGGAATGTAACACCTGGTGCAGGAGTTAATAAATGACTTCACACCTCTCTATTCTCTCGCTAACAGATTATAACAGCAGTGATCAGAAGACGGCATGCAGAAAGCATGAGCTTTATGTTAGCTTCAGAGAGCTGGGCTGGCAGGTGAGAACATATGAACACATGTTCACACGGTCCTTTTGGTGTGAGCACACATGATCTATACTCACGCACATGACTAACCTGAACGCATGCAGTAGCACAAACAGTTTTCCCAGAGCCAAGTTTGCATAGCCTGACCTTTCAGAAAACAGCAACAAACTACCAATGACATAATTCACTCTAGGTCTGAAGTTCTCATTTAGACCAGTTTTATATTGAACTGGACTTTACATTTTACTGTACTTGTCTTTGTCTGTTGCCAGGACTGGATCATTGCACCTGAAGGCTATGCAGCCAACTACTGTGATGGTGAATGCTCGTTCCCACTGAATGCTCACATGAATGCTACCAATCATGCTATTGTACAGACACTGGTGAGCTTTGAAAAAGTATTACCTTGAAAACAGATACTAAACAACTAACCTCATAGCCCAGTTACTTTATAGACATTCATGTTACTGAAGCCAAGAGAAGAGCCTTTAGAATTGCTTGAAGAAGTTATTATAAGCCTAATAGGCTATAAGCAACCATGTCACTGCTAAATTCATACTCTTTTGCTTTATACATTTCAGCGCATTCAAAATATTTGTAGACATTTTTCACAAAAACTGCTACTTTTATCACTTATTTTATACTTTCTTCTCTTTACTCTGCATAGTGGGCCATAGATTCTTGCTCTGCATGGCAGGGTGTATTTTAGAAATGGAGTACAGGGATATATGTCTTCATAGACTTGATCCTCTTTAGAGGCTTAAATACTTCATAGGGTAATTTAGGAGTGTTTCCAGTTTATGAGGTTCACCTACCTCATATACCATGTGCATCATTCTCATTACAGCAATGATACCAATATAACTGTGTGACCAAAATAATTAACTGGCAACTACATGAAAATGTAGGATGCTAGAAAATAGGTTAATAAATACGATTAAACAGTGGTCACCAGCCTTGTCCTGGTGATCTACTTTCTTGCAGAGTCTAGTTCCAACTACAATCTGCCGCACCAGCTGATTAACTTCTTCGGAAGTTCTTGATTTGCATTAGTGTTAAGTAATGAGGAAAAGCGGCATGCAAATGCAGGTTGGAATTAAACTGCTGGAAAGTAGATATCCAGGAGGTGGGTTGGTGAGCACTGCTATAAAGTAAATAGCTCTGTCCAAAACCACATTCTGCTGTACTACATACTACACTAATGAGCAGACTTCTATTGATGGTTGTATTTTCGACGTACTATTTGATATGGTAGTATGCGGTTTTGAACGCAGCCAATGTATGTTCAAACTGTCAGTTGAGCTCGTGTTCCTTTTGCCCACAGGTCCACCTGATGAATCCTGAAAACGTCCCAAAGCCATGTTGTGCCCCCACCAAGTTGCACGCCATCTCCGTGCTCTACTTTGATGACAATTCCAACGTCATTCTGAAGAAATACAAAAACATGGTGGTACGCGCTTGTGGCTGCCACTGACTCTGAGGACGTCATGCTAGCTTATCCCCCACACCGCCCAGCGGCTGCAGCTCAGTGTGTGTGTGTGAGAGAGAGAAAGAGAGAGAGGTAACAACAGGATATGTTCCGTTTGTGAACAAAAAAAATGAGAAAAAATATATAAGGTGTGAATGTTTGAATGATGGTATGTATTAAGCATAGACTGAGTGTGTGTGTTTGTGTGTATGTGTGTGTGCGCGCATGCATGTCCCTCTCCTTGCCCTGGCTGTACTGGATGTGGGATTATAAAGGACTGTGTGAGGAATGTGCTGCTTTCCCCCCCTCTTTCCTGTTCACACACAGTCAGTTCTCATGTACCAGTTCCTAATCCTGCTAAGTCCAGAAAATATGTACAGTGATATCTGAATACAGAGCCGGTGCCTAGAACAGTGAACTGTCACTGAAACATATTAGCCAAAATTCATTCTATATTTTATAAAAGTATTTATTCTGTATTTGACTAACCAAAGCTTGATTTTAACATCTGAGACTGTCAAAACCTAATCATGTCCTGATACAGCCACATATTAGATAGATATATTTTTATTTTTCCTGTTTTGTATGTTTTATACAGTTGCTCACCCATCCAAAAAATACAACAGCTGAACTTGGTTGAACTCTTTTTAGGTCTTAATAAAACGACTTATTTTTATTCTCTCAATATTTGCTCTACACTACCCATGGTTTGCTGTAGCCAGCCAGAGAAAGTGGTCACAGTTATCAAACGAACCAAAACAACAGAAATATTATTCTCAAGCTCTGAGGACAGAACCGTTCTATTCTTTGCTAGCCTCATTCGCAGTACCACAAATCTATCATTTTTCATGCAACACCTGCCTTTGGCCAGCTTACAGCTAAAACACGCCACAAATGTAGCGAGGAGTTACAGTTAATTTCATCTCTTTAGCAGAGCTGCTTCCAAAAGCCCTTTTTTCAGAGTCCGTTTCCTCAAATGAGCCCTTGGTTTTCCAGCCATCTTGTGTCAATATTTACTATTTGTGACTTCTGGTTGTCAGGTGTTTCATATGACTGCAAGCACTGTTCAACGGTACAAGCATAATCTCCTCTAACACGTTGCAGATAGATTTGTTTTTTGCAACCAGCCACACAGTCATATACCTCTAGTAAACTGCTGTTTACATATTTTCTCATGTCTAGATGTCTATGTAAATACTTGTATATTTTCTAGGTTATTTATTGCACCTCTTCAGAAACATCTCTCAAATTTAAATGACAGTAAAGTAACAATTGCAACAGCTACGTTTGGAAAAAAGCAAACATTTTATTATGAAATTTGTATTACAACTTTCAGTGTTTTCTTTTTGTACAAAAATCCATGGGCAGTGTGTAGCCCACAAAAGAAACAAAGACATACTGCTCTCTCTTTCACTGAGGTCTCCCTGGACCATGTGCCTCCCATAAACACTTTGTTGAAAACGCTGCTTTCCTTTGAATGTTTGTTACAAAAAAACATCATTGGGAGAATGAAGATGGGGGAAAAATGTGCTTTTGTTTCAGCCTGACCACTTAGGATCTAAAGATCACAAGCATGTAAAGGAGGATAATCTGCAAGTATACAAAACTAAAAGCAGTGTTCTTTAAAACTCTGATAAGCAGCTTGTAGTGCTTCCATTTCAGTACTAGTATCAGGTCACTTGATGTTGAGTCAAGAGTCAAAGACCCAAATTACAGGTAAACAACCTATTTTAAACAGAGTATAAATGCTAATAGTCAAACTCCTTTAAAGATATTTAGTATGGTGCTATGAGTGGTTCTCAATTCCAGACACCCCCATGCGCTGCACTTTTTTTGCATTGGGTGCCCAGGGCTAGAATTGAAAACCCATGATGACTAAATAAAAAAATGGCCCCATGGGGGAAGACTGTGAAACTGAAAAACTATTTCCTCTGTTTAGAACACACACACAAAAAGAAAGTGCAGTTTGTAAATTTAGAGTCCGAGACGTTTCAAATTCAGGTTACAAATGAACAGGGCGTTAAGAGAAGAAGAGAAAAGGCAGAAAGGAGGAACTTATGCTTTTCACTTTATATTTAAAAAATGTTCTCCCTGAGAGCCAAGTCACATGATTCTCTTTTTACAGTAAAAATAAACCGGGTTGTCTTTCCGGGCACTGTAAACATAAAGGCCAAAGAGTTTGCCTTAAAAAGCAACAGATAATTTCTTGTTACAAAATTCTTCCACTCATATATGGAGCAATAATCTCTATTTTGGTGTTTATAACGGTCAAAAAGGAAGACTATAATTCATACACACTCTTGTGTTGATAGTTTAAAGAAAAAATAATAAAGGACGGGGGAAAAAGCAAAACCACTGGGAATTTCTGTTACTGGAAAAGTGGTTGTCAAATCATTAGTACCATTTTCTCTCATTAGTACCATTTTCTCTCACAGGTCCATAAAGTGATAAAGACTTGCCTGTTATCAAATACATTCACATTTTATCTATGGATAAATCATAGTGATTGTGCTCACTCAAAAGACTTTGAGCAAATGTGGAATGCAGAGAAAAAGGGCAGGGTTTTTACTGATGGAAATACATGCTTGTGATACTGGGGGAAAACACAAGGAGAAAGATCAGGTGTCAGAGCAGAAGACAGTGGGTAATGTGAGCAAAGCTACAGCTCATCTCTGGCCTGCTTCATGACAAAGCTGTGCAGACTCTCCAAGTCCCGCCCTCCATTATGCTCCTCACCCTGCTTTCCTGCCCGGAACATCAGCAGAGTCGGGTATCCCTGCACCTAGAGTAGCGAAATATTCAGAACTCATAAGTGTTGGACAGAGAAAATGAGCACCAACTCATCACAGGCAAAAGGAGAAATTTCACATTTTACTGTAGTGAAATTTTTCATATTAATGTAAATGAAAGACAAACGCTACCACCAACAAATCACTAAGGAGACAGCAATGAATCTGTAGCTGTGAGTAAAAGCTTACACTAAAAATCTCCTCAGATCAGCACAGGCTAAAGGAATTTTCCAGAGCAAAGTTTATACCCATCTGATGACTTCCTTTCAATTTAAAAGCAAGCGTACAGGATCTTACCAGCATGAGACTGCAGTGTATTTCCCACCCCCCCCCCACATAAATAAGGGGAAACATGACACATTTATGTACAACAGATCAATTAAAAAGGATTTATGTAAAACCCTAGCTGTGTTCTCGTAGACAACAGGGGTTTTGAGGAAAATAGAATTGCTAACTTTACCATTTACTTTGTGCTAGCATAACTATTTCATACAAGTGCTCAGTAGAAAACAATAATTAAATCTACAATGTCAAGTCAGGGAAAACATTAATATGTTAGTACTGTGGTCCTCTAGGAATGTAGTCTGATATGCACCATAATATAGTAGCAGTGACTAAGACAATTCTTCAGTCACAGACCAAATATATGTTAGCTTTTCATATCTGAGCCAGAAGATTTTTATGGCTTTATATATTTAACAAAAACAATGATGAGTGACTCACTGAGAATCTGTTGCAGAGCGTTCTCTCAACAGTGCAGTCCACTTTAGCAATCTTCACATCAGTCAAGCCAGGAAACTCCTTCTTAGACAGGTCCTCCCACACAGGAGCCAGGTTCTTACAGTGGCCACACCTTCAACACAACCCCACAAGCACAGGCATCAGAATCCTGGGGGTGATTAAGGAAGATCTCTCTTCAGAGATAGACAGCTCCTTTTACCAAGAACTAAGGAAGTACTTGAGACGATTGCATTCACTGATAGTGGAATGGATTCTTCTTTTGTGTGGGAGTGTGTCTGCACATGTGTGCATGTCTGTTTCACAAGTACATATATCAGGATTTTGTAACAAACTGTCTAAATACCAGCTTTTACCATCAAATGTCTGAAATGTAAATGGAAATGACATATAGCTGGGTAATCAGCACACTAAAGAGATGGTAAAGATTTTATGTACTTTTCTTACATTTCATGTAAGACCAATAAATAAATAAATACATATATAGATTACTGCATCAAACTGTTCATGAAAAAGAAAACTTTTGTCTAAAATGCTCTCTGCAGAACAAGCCTATGAACAAGCTAAATATGGTGAGAGAAATGGTGACTTTTCTTTAAAGCTGATTAAACTGTTTGAAAAGTCTGATTAAAATACTGTTTGCAAAGTCTGATCAAAATAGGATTTAAAAAAAAATAATAATAATCAAGAAGCACTTACCATGGAGCATAAAACTTGATGAAGGAGATACCTTTGGCAACAACTTCATCAAAGTTGCTTTCAGTAAGGACTACAACACTAGACTGAAAGCCAAAGAAAAAAAGGAAAAAACATAAATACATTTGCATTAGCTTAAAATATGTGTTCAGTCGTCTGGCAATTCCTCCACTCACTGGTCTATAAGAAGTATAAAAAAAAGGATATAAGGTCTATGAAAATGGTCAGATATGAATACTTGAAGGCTACAAGCTGCAAGTTTGAACAGCCTGACTTTGGTAAGGTTATTTGCTTTATATAGCATTCTACTTCTGAACATCATTACACATTAACATACCACAAAAATTCTGCTGATTTAGTCTACATTCACCACCATTACAAAAATGGAAAGAATGAACCTTGCAATGACTGTGTTTAAAAATATAAAACCTTGGGAGTTCATATTTTAGTACACACTCAGTGTCTGTTCAAAATTGTTAAATTCTCCTCCCTCACCAGACACACACACAGATTTTTCTTATATATATATATATATATATATATATATATATATATATATATATATATATATATATATATATATATAAATAAACACAGACATTTTTTTCTCTCATAGACACACACATATTTGCATCAGCAGGAGGAAATAGCCTGCCCATAATTGCTACTTCACTTCTGGCAGATTCATGACTACAGGCTAGACAGACACTGATGACAATCTCACGTTTAAACATCTGCCCAAACACTCACTCCCTAATCAAACCTCTTAGGAGCCAGACAATATTACAAACCATCCATAATCTCAAAAGGGAAACACTGCTTATGCAAAGACTACAGGCTAAGACCCAATCCCATTTCTTCTTTTTACCCCTACCCCTTGTTTTCGAGTGTCACCCTATCCCCTTGGAACGGAGTTACAAAGGGTAGTGGTTGAAATCTTGCCTACGAAATGGAACAACCCTCAATCGCTTCATTAACAGGCTACTAGCGGTGCTCTCCAGGCGACCCGGCCCATCTTCAGTGATAGCAGAGAAGGGAAAAGTTCAGCAACCTCGCCGCGGGGCTTTAGTTACATTTAGGGCATCATATGCTTCCAAAGAGGGGGTATACGACAATTATTTATTATCGCCCACCGCTAATTCTTTGGTGATACAAAGCTGAAGTCAGCTATTCACCAGGTTCTTGTTCGAATTTTCCCGTTTTACTTTAAATGGTGCAGCAGTTACATTCTGGCGCTTTAGTCATCAACACTGCTGGACTATTTGGAAATTGGAACGGGAAAGTTAGCTAGCTAGCTACCCAGACATTAGCATACTGTTAGCGATTGCGATAGCGATGCTTGTTACGAAGAAAATGACCATAATATATTGAAACGACATTAAAGACACTACAATGGTTACTGTATTTTTTTAACAGAGAAAATACTTACATTTGTGGGTTTCTTTGGTCGCTCGCGCAGCCATCTTGCCGGTTTTTCTTTTTTTCTCATAACACTCCGAGGGACAATGTAGCCCTAACACTTCGCCCTACCCCTCTATCTCAACAAAAAATGGGACACCCTAACCTTAGACGTGAACGCGCAAAACAGAGGGCTAAGGGCTAAGTGGCAGGGCAAGGGGTGAAATGGTATTGGGCTTAAACTTCATCCACAATTTGACAACTTAATGTTGGATTTTTTCTGGCCTGTCCTCCTGTATGTAGTAATACTTAGAATTGATCTACCATTTAGTACAGACATATTTTTAAAACCATTGTGATGCGAGAATGCTTATGTTAGGCTTTACTACAGTATGACAACAGGAAGCCAAAACAAATTAGTTAATGAGATGAATTCTGAAGTGTGCTAGATGAGACAAAGCACCAAACTGTGCAATGTGTTGCGAGCTAGTTAGAAAAACAAAGTTTGGCTCCCAACTTCTCCTTAGTGCCCCCAGCCACTGCACTGATTTGTTCACATCCATCACCAGCATACCCAACGTAATGTAATTAAGCATTGATTAGCCAAACCAGGTAATGAATGATGACAATATCAGGTTGCCTCAAGGATGCCTTTGGAAATGATTAAGTGAACACATGCACATACATAAAATTCCAATTTTCGTATTGTTATTTGTATTCACTGATGTATTAGAATTTTTCTAATATATGCTGCTTGCTACTTGAACTATTTTTAAATATAATTTAAATTGTGCCAGTTTTTGTTAAAGCCCGTCAAGTGTCTCTCACACAGACACACTACCTCTTCTTTAGCAGGCTCTTTGCTCTCTGGCATTTCATTAGTCCTTGCGTCTTCTGCAGCAGGCTGATCTTTGGAAGCAGCAGCCGCTAAGTGATTATCCACAAATTCCTTAAAGGAGTCCAGATCACGCTTTCCCCTGTACTGGTCCACCTGAAAATCAACAAAACGTTAAAGTGTTCATTGTGTTGCCTCTTAACTACTTTCATTTTTGTTAAAACATTTCATTTGGCTTAACAAAGCCAGCTATACACCGATGTGCCAAAAGTCATGGGATAACAGTATGTAAACCGATTATGAAATAACATTAACTCAGGGGATGTTAACCTGTATCCCGATTCAATGCAGGACATCCAAAGCGCATGTTCTGCAGGTCAGTGCAACGTTCTCTGGCTTTTAGAGGACATGGGAGCAGAAGATCCACCAGAGTGGCTCTGTTAACACCACGACAATGGACACAGAGCCTCACCTGAGCTTGTGAGGTTGCTAACTAGACCCTAGAGGACTGGTAATGTGCTGTGGTCCGATGAGTCACGGTACCAATTGTTTTGGGCTGATGTTCGTGTGTGGCGCAGACACTATGAAGCCATGGACCCCAGTTGTCAACAAGGCATTGTGCAGGCTGGTGGTAGGTCCATATTGGTGTGAGGTGTGTTCTTATGGCATGGGTTGGGTCCACTGGTCCACCTAAACACGTCACTGACCAGCTCTAACTAATCGGTTATTTGCTGACAATTCGCTGGTGTGAAATACATCATAATTACAAAATCCCTCTTGCGAACACTGATAAGGCAGCTTTGTGTAGAGAAACACGAAGCATAAACAAACAAGTTTTTCTAATGTGATCTTACATAACTATTCCTTGTTATTCCATTAGCTCCATTAAAACAAAAGTGAGAATGACATTTCCATTTTAGACTACCTGAGCCTATGAAATAGCTTTGATAGTGGATCGGTCACATCTGGCTGATACCTGATCTGTTTAATAAAGTCAGTATATGTGGCGGTACTGATCCAGTACATCTGATTGGTGTATGCCTTATCATAGCTTGAGTTACTCCAGCGCTAGACGGTGGGAGGGATTGTGGTTGCTGTCTGTCTTAGCGCTGGAGATTGGTTAACTGTACTGGCCATCTGTGTGAGGATTTGATAATTGGGGTACAGGAATTTATTTTGTGGGGGATATTTAGATGTAGGATATTATTTGTGGTGAGCGTTATCTGGGATAAAAAGCAGAACCGGATTTGGTGTTAACAGAAAATAAACAGTGTTTGGAGGTTTTAACTTTAAAAATGAAGTGATGGCTGCATGAAACTGTTGAAAAGGGTTTCTCAGAGTGGGAAATGGTAAAATACAGTACACATCCAAAAGTATCCAGACACAACCCTTCTAATTAGTGAATTCTTTTTTAAAAAAGAAACAAACAAAACAAAACAAAAAAAACACTACACTTTAAAAATTATGCATCTTTTAAATATTTTAAGTAACCTGGTTAGTAGTTTAAAAGCTGCAGAATTTGTTCTTGTGGCTGAAAGCAATCAGATACTCAGGGCTATGTTTCAATATCTACTGTAAAGCCTTCCCATAAGAACACTGGAAAAAGGAGGGGACAAACTCCCTATTAATACCTTGTTTTCAAGAGAAACATTAGTTGAGCACGTCTACAAACTTCTGGACATTTAGCGTATGTGACAGTGGTGTAAACTTTTAATTTGGCTGAATGTAGTGGGCTTTTGATGAAGTGAGAATTTTGTTATTAAATATGCAATGGACATTTTAAGAGGCTGGGTTTTTTGTGATTTGTGATGTGAGGGGATTTGACAATCAAAAACTTAATTTGGTTTTTACTTTAAAGCTGAAGGCTACAACGGTCTGTAGGCATGATGGGAGACAAATATTACAAAGCTTGAAAGGGGCATCAAAAAGAGGATGCTGTTTAAATACGTAAAATGAATCACTGCTCTGCAGCATTTAGAGAACACTTGAAGTTGGCTGCTTATTTGGATGTGCTCACCTTCTCTCCATCAGTGAAGAAGAGCAGAGTAGGGTAGCCTCGCACCTGGTTCTCTGAACAGATTTCATAATGCTGAGTGCAGTCCAACTGTAACAAGACAAATAATCAACTGAAATATAAAATTAATGTAGTTTGAAAAGATCTGCATATTGTTCACTTACAAATCATTGCACAACGTTTTATAAATACCCACAAGCACTTTATTAGGAATACTGTACTAATCCTGGGTAGGGTCTCCCATTGCTCTCAAAGCTGCCTCAATTCTTTGTGGCATGGATTACTCAAGATGCTGGAAACATTCCCATGAGACTCTGGTCCATGTTGATACGATTGCATCAGGCATTTCCTGCAGATTTTTCACATGCATTTTCATGCTGAAAATCTCTCATTTTACCACATCACAAAGATGTTCTGTTGGACTCAGATCCAGTGACTATGAAGGGCACTGAAGAACACTGAACTCATTGAGTGCATTTATATGCACTTAATCATAATCTGAGAAGTGCAGAAATCTGATTATTCAAATGGTCATGTAAACAGCATACTTCGATTTCTTAGATCAGAGTAAAGTCTAGAAATCCAAATAAGAAATCTGATAAAGAAAGCTGGATTTTAGCTCAGCAATCAGATTTCTCAGTACATGTATACTCTTACTCAGATTTCTTTTGGATTTCTCAGTCTGTGCATGTGCAAAAACAGACCGTGGCACAGCAAATAAGCAAGCAGCTTTTAGCACAGCACCCATGCAAGGGTAACAAAACACTTTTGGAGCGACTCTGAAACAAACTACATACTTGTCAAAATGAAAGATCTAAATAATTCTTCATCTTCTTTGCTCAATTCAAATAATTATTACTGTTCTTGCTTTTTTGCTTACAAAATAAAGGAAGAAAATCCACCGCTCTTCAATTCACATACATAACTCACATATAATTAGATGTGCAATCAGAACAGTGGGTACAGAGTAGGGGTGGGAATCTGTAGGCACCTCATGATTTGATTCAATTACGATTCAGAGGGCTGCGATGCGATTATAAAACGATTATCAGTGCATCTTGAATCTTTTTCTATACAGGATTTCTATTTTCTCACTGTGTGAGGACTTTGTACTTTTAAAGTATTTGTAATGATCCATAATTAATTTACTTCCAATATCTTTTATTAATAAAACAAATGGGAGTGATGTGGCAAGTGAACTAGAAGGCTCTCATTCACTCCTCTTGTTTGGAGCACGAGACACTGGCTGCCACTCATCTGTGATAAAATGCGCTGCTACAGTGACATAAGAACCAGTGACAATAGATGTCCACGCAGCACGTTACAGCTGTCCTACCCATTTTCTTTAGTGATTTTATAACTTCGGTTTTGGCCGTTGTAGAGTGTGGGGATCGCTGTGTCAGTAAAATATTTTCGAGACGGGACATGTGCAACATAGAGCAAAAGCCCAGGCTCTTAAAGACTGACAACTGACGTGCAGACTGCAGGTCACAGAGCAACGCAGTCTCGCCTAGCTAGTAGCTAACGAAAAGGCAAAGAGAGATTTAAGACAGACATTTGGAGACGAAAGGACTTGTTCGCATTTACAAGCTCCGCAGTTAGTTTCCTGGTACGTTAAATCTGCAACAAAAAACTGTCAAACACTAAAATTTTGTGAAGATGAAAGTCAGCTTCTCTTTCGAATTTTCCTGTTCCACCTTAAATGGTGCCGCATTTACATTCGGCGCCTCAGTCAAAATTTAAGGTGGAACGGGAAATTCGAGCAAGAAGCTGGCGAATAAGAAGCTGGCGAATAAGAAGCTGACGAATAAGAAGCTGACGAATAAGAAGCTGACGAATAAGAAGCTGACAAATAAGAAGCTGACAAATAAGAAGCTGACAAATAAGAAGCTGACAAATAAGAAGCTGACTTCAGCCTTGTAAAACAGTCAAACGTTGAGAGACATTTTACAAGAAACTATTCAACTTTTGAGGAAAAGTTTTCTGGTGGAGATGGGAGGAAAGCGGCTATAGCTAAAGCTTAAAGCAGAGCAAAGCAAGTCTGTTAGTAAAAAAGTAAGTTATACTTTTTAGCCTATACTAGGACATTAGCACATACTGAGACATACTGGACATTAAATGTTCTGGCTGTCAAGGTGGTTTGATTTTTGTTGAAAGGACAAAATGGCTCTTTTTAACATTTGGGTTGTGACTCCTGACCTAACCTAGCTTTTAATGCAGAGGGTGCCAGTCGGATTTCTCGCTCATCCAGTTGTTTTTGTTTGTTATTGTTATGTGCCGTCACAAAGTGTCCAGGCACTGCACTTCCACACTTTGAAGTTCCGCCTTTTGCGTTCCATCAACATTGTTACAAGTTAGAATTTAGAAAATCGATTTGACATTTGTAAATCGATTGAGAATTGTTCACGTCCGCATCACAATGCATCTAAGAATCGATTTTTCCCCCTACCCGTAGTACAGAGCATCCTTCTGAAGTCACAGCTAACAAAAATGATGTGGGATTATATCATTGAGAGTCAAAAAAATAAATAAATAAAATAATCCACTGTACCTATCCCTTACTTTAGCTAATGGATTTTGCACAAATTGTATTAAAGAGATGGCTCCAAGTGTCAGGAATTCTTCCCCCACCATCCGTAAGTATTGCTAACATGTACACCTATGTTGCTGTTTCAGTCATTAATGTCATCCAGTCTTTTGACTTGGGCACACTCACACTTTTTCAATGTTTTAAAACTATTCTAGCAGCTGTGATCATGCTTGCTCTCATGAGAAATAAAAAGTGTTACATGAGACATTTGGTAGTTCAGTCCTATCCCCCCAACAGACAACCAACCCATTTACCTAAAATTTGCAGAATTTCTGTTTAAAACATGTTCACAAGAGGGAAGCTCCAAAGTGCATGTACACATGTACCCTTCTGTGTGCAGTTAACACTCTTAGACCCACTCTACACAGCTTAAGAGGGGTAGGGTAATACCTATGTAACATCCTGTATTGGGTAAATTTCCCCTTTGCTTTCCTTAAGTGTCAACCTGCATTTGACACAGTTCTGCTGAAGTTCTCTTCATCAATGTCACAATTAAGTTCTCTCTGCCATAAAAACTTAAATATTTTAGGATTGTGCCAGAGCGGAGAATATTGTTGCCGATATTATGAGACTCCCATAATTTTATGAACCTGACCCCAGACTTCCCTTGAATGAGATATAACAGGGTTATAAATGTTGCCCTGTTTTCTCTGCTTTTGTGCGAGGATGTCATTAGGATGAAATGGGGAGGCCAAAGCTCTCTCTATTGCCACCCAATCCAAACTAGTTTCATCTTTGCACTAGTACTTAGAAAGTTTAGAGATTTCAAAAGAAAAACTGTACAGTCTAACATCTGGTACACACAGCCCTCCATTTTCCCCTCATGGAACACATTTTACTTAATTTGCGACCTTTTTGTCCCCACAGAAACTTCCTAAAACTCTGTACTGTTAATATACTTCAGATGGGATGGACAAAAGTAGCATCACTGATATATAATGAAACTGAGGGGCTATTACCATCCTTATGGTGTTAAACTTTCCTCACAGAGATAAGTTTTCCCCATTTCCCCATTAGCTTTAATTTTTCTCAAAATTAATTAAAAGTTCAGTTTTAAGATCTCATTTTATTTCAACCCTGCAGGAATCTACTTAAAAAATTATACCATGCCAGTAGTCCAAGGGAGCACAACTGACTTCCCTCTCAGGGTGCTAGCCTTAGCTCTCATAGCGTTAGTACTATTGTGTGACTGGGAGAGAACTAACTATCGGTGGAATTGGATATGACTAAACTAGGGAGAAAACATTGGGGGGAAAAAAAATTGGGTTGGTTATAATAGTTGAGGCCAGAGATTCAAGGGCAATAGTGAAGCCCAACAGAGAAAAAAAAAACACCCTTGCCTCGTTCCACATGTCAGTGGAAAAAAGGTGATATAAAACGTTAGTTATCACCGCTGCCTTAGGTTCAGTGTACAAGACTCTTAGCCACACTTTGAAGTTGGCACCAAAACCATACTTTGACAATACGGCCGTCAGGAAGTCCCACTCAATGCTTCATCAAATCAAATGCTTTTTCAGCATCAAGCAATACAACTATGAGCAGAACATCCTCATGGCTATAAGACCAAATCAGATGGATTAGCCTCATGTTATCTGCTGATGCTCTACCTTTAATAAATCCTGGTCTGGGTCTATAATACTTGGCAGCAACTTAAAGGTAGTGCTAAGGCTTTAGTTAAAATTTTACCATCTACGTTAATTAAGCTAACAGGCCGAAAGTTTGAAGGGTCTGTTGTGTCACTATCCTTTTTAGGTTTGAGGGTGATCAGTGCCTCATTGAATATATTTGGTAACGATCCGACCCATAGTGTTTCCCTTTAAACCTCTGTTAGAACTGGGGCAAGAATATCAATGTAGGTTTTATAACATTCAGCTGGGAAATCTGTCAACCCCTGGTAAATTAGCAGCTTTCATAAACAGGATGGCTGACCAGATCTCCTCTTTTGTTAGGGGTGAATTTAAAGTCTCAATAACTACTAATAATGACTAATATTCAATCTCCATCTACCCCTCTGTGTACTTTCCATATTTAAATGGATTTCTAATTCCACACTTGCATGATCTGATATGGCACCTGTTCTGATACTACATATTCTTCATTTTCTAGATGATGTATCTATATATATTTAGGTGAAGTGACTTAAAAACAAAATCTAACCTGCTCTGTAGAGTTGGTTTAAATAATTTGGTCAAAATCATTGTCTGTGTTAGCAGCCCTTAGGCTACAGATGTGGCAGAGATCAATCTAGCATTGAGGGCTATCTTCTAACTTACATAGTGGCCATGAGATGTGTGGGGATAGATTGCTGTGTGTAATATATATTACACACAAACACTCATATATACTTTACCCACCTTCCCAATCTTGACCAAATCTGAGTGTTCAAAGCTAGTAGCAAGCTGTTCCCATGTTGGAGCCATAGCTTTGCAGTGGCCACACCATGGTGCAAAGAACTTCACAAAGTGAGATCCTGTAAATGGAAAGAGACAAAAAGTGTCAAAAAAAAACTGAATAATCAGTTTCTATTTGTTGCTGTTATAAAGTTTAATTCAAGATTTTTAAAATTGATTTAAAGATGAGTTTAAAGAAAGTTTCCGATTCAAGATAACTATCACTAGTCATACTCAACAGTCTTCAAAACATTTGTAAAGCTGACAGACTTTGCCTGTAAAAGAATAAAAAATGCAGCAGCACAACATTTGCCTAGCTCGGGAAGCAGTTCACTCTAAATCCTATGCAAAGGTGTGTGTTGTAGTGGTGGTGCACATCTGGCAAAGAAACTGAAAGTGTAAGATCTGAAACAAGAAAGAACCAAAATAGTAATCTTAACCAAAGCAGAAAATATGAAGCACACCAAGTACTGAACACCTGGTTTAGAGAATATTAACTAATAATGCCAAAATTATGTTTGCATGTGTTTATAAGGGACAAGTTAACATTTTAGAGATTTTAACCCTTGTAGTGATGTCAACTTGAAACCTCCACTGTTTTTTTATTAAACGAAATTTAAAAAAAAGAAAGAAAAAAAAAACAAAACAAAAAAAAACACACACATCATACAACCACATACATTTTAAGAGGCTTAATGTATGTAAAGAAATGACAGAATGTTTTGGACCTGATACCTTTGGAAATATGTGGTTTGAAGTTAGCGGCAGTAAGCTCGTACATGCCATTTCTGGGCTCTGGCACTTTAGGGGGCTCAGGCTCACTCTGTGGCTCCTGGGAGACAGAAAGAAGTCGCAAACAGACGGGTCAGTTTTATTATTCCTGTTAATGTTAATTCCACCTTTACTGATTTCAGAGCAACTAACTGTTGCAACTTAGACTACTCTCTGATAATTTTTTTTTAGCCATCTATTAAAGGCCTGAAGCTTTATTCCAAAACAATGTACTAGTTACTGGCTACAAACAAACACTAACGTTGCAGGAAACATCTTGGTACTTTTTCAAAATCTCACTAGAACACGCAAAGTTATCACAGATACCAAATACAAACACCAAAGACTGTTTTCATTGCAGGTCTTTTTTTGTTATTTCTATCAGTTGTTTCAGTATCTTAGAATGTAAGGAATGATTTTATCATGTGACAGGCTATAAAAAGAAATATTTTATTTTTGGGCAGAGCTGGAGACCATCAAAATGGTTCTTTGTCTTACCTCTGGCTCCTCCTGCAAAGTTTTGAGCATCCAGGTCTCCAGAGATTGCAGGTCTCTTGGGCCCTGATATTTCACTGCCTCCTGCTCAGGTTTAAACAGCTTCAGACTGCACAGAACCAAACCCCATGCACACACAAACACCCACAGGCATACAAACAGAAGTTCTGAGCCTACACGCATACAACATAAGTTACTTGGCCTTAAGTAACATAGCACCTAGATTACATAAATTGAAAACGTATGGGGATTGCTCAATGCTGCTATCAGTGATGCACAATAATATTGTAATCATATTGATATTGACAAATAATGCTTTAAAAAGAATTGACGTGGCCTATACTTTCAAACCAATACTGTTTATGTATTTATTGTACTTTATTAATTTTACTGCATCTATAACCCAACAGAAATACATACTATAATTCTTTGTAATCCTAGTCCAGGTGGATTTAATCCAGATTTCTACATTTTATATATATGTTTGTGCGCCAGCACTCGCAGATATGTGCATTAAAAATACTGGACATCGTCATGGGCCCACAATTCCCATTTCGGTATATCCCTTGTTACTATTGTGGTCAAGTATTAAAGGGCGCATTCTTGTATTTCATTTTTCCTCCGGACACTTTGAGTGGTTTTAAGTACCAAAAACAGTCATAATTCATTTTAGATGACCACATTGTAACCTGTCTTGTTTTGTAACCTCAACCTCAGTGTTTACATACTACATCATACTCTTATTTAAAACAATTATACTCCATATATGGGTCAATTAAAACAAGTTGCTAAGATATCAGCATGCAGATGATTTGTGAAATTGTCATTTTTGCCACGTTTTCTATTTCAGTGTACAAGTCCATACATCTCAAACATGGGTGTAAAATTACAGAGTTATAAGTCAGATCACAAAATCCAAACAGACAACTTTAGCCGTTGTAGAAGTACCCTTTCATTCTAACTATGAACAAAACTGTTAGGATACATAAACATGTAAAATACAGCAAAGACAAAAATAAAGACATCATCTTTACCATGACTGTTTGATGAGTGCTGATGTAATAAACTGATGTTAAACATCACTCAGAATAACAAACAGAGTGGAGACTTCGGCCTTCCACTGCTAACACATGACATTCGCCTGACTGATCTTAACCACACCTTTAGACACCTGTGGACACTACTATTCCTCTTACCAATTTAAATTAATACAGTCATTGCAAATTTCAACTGTCTTATAGGTTTTAAACATAAATGGTGCAACAACAGCATTACAACTTTAAAACTTACGTGGGATATCCGCGGATTCCATGGTCGCTGGAGCAAAACTTTGTGTCCTTAGTGCAATCTACTTTTACGACATACGCAGGGGGGGACTCCATACTGTTGTATTTATCTGCCAGCTCGTTCCACGTTCCCTGCAGCCTCTGGCAATGACCACACCTATACAGGACACAGCCGAGGATACTATGTCAAAGCATCTCCGGGGCACAGAATATTAAGGAGACACATAAAAGCACTGATTTAACTGGCCTACTAAGAGAGCTCATACTTGGCTCATGATGCAGCTTTAGGTTGTAACTTACAGGCCGACAATAATGCTATATCACCACTTGGCTTTTGCGTTCAGGTATAGGCTAGCTAAGTTACATTATCTAAAATACATACGTTATAGCGGTGCCTCGTCAGAATCAATATGAAGTGTCTCAGACTGTCTTTACCTTATACAGTTGCTTGCCACGTAAGCTGAAACTTGCTGAATGAACTGTGAACCCCTTGGCTGGTCAGCCTCGACTGCAAGCTAATCCGCTACAACCGCATTTTTGAGTTTACCGTTAAAGCTAACGCGGAGACTGAAGTATTGCATTTCCTTCCAATCCCAAATAAAAAAATCCCACATAATAAACGAGCTGTAACTTATCAACAAGGCTTTACAAAAAACAAGACACCGTTAGGTAGCTAGCTAACCTAGTTACTTTAGCTTTTATTTAGGTAGCTTACATTAGCTTTCGTCAAGTAAGCTGCGCTATCTTAGCTAACCTAACTAGGTTAGCTAGCTAGCTAGGCAACTATTAAGCCCTTTTTTCTCCCTGTATAAGGGACGGCAAACAAAGAGTAACGTTAGAAACATGTGATATTCAGGCGTTGCAAATAAAGGCATACAAAACCATGTAAAGTTATACTCATGTTAACGCTAGACAGCCGAGCCACCCCTAAGCTAAGCCTAGTTACTGCAAACTCTACGCCGGGTAGCCGGCTACAGCTAGCAAAGTTGAAGATGTCTGTAACTTTACCAAGGGGCGAAGAACATCACGAAGTGTGGAGCAGTTGAAATTGCATTGTTGAACATTTCCACCGTGTAAGTGTGCTTTGCGTGCTCATCTTCCTCCGTCTCATTATCGCACAGTATTGTTCCAAAGAGTAATGCAGAATAAAGAAAACTTATTAAAACAGGGGACATTTTCAGTGCTGAGGTGGCCATGACACCGTCAAGCCGAACCGTGGATGCTCTGTGAATGAAACCAGCTTACTTTTCTCGCCCTCCTTTAAAGCAATAAGGATTTACTACAGCAGATATGTAAGTACGTGTTCGTCTCTGAATCACAAGGTAACATGATCCGTGTGACTTAAAGATCTGTTGTACAGCGCGGACGCAGCATTGAACGCCCTCTAACTAGCTCTGGAAGATTGCATGCTCGATTGTTTCACTACATTTTACCACTCACGGCTTTCCGAACCTTGAGATGAGTAGAATATTGAAGTACGTGCCATGGTAATGTAAATAGTACGAAGTGTTTCCGCCTTATTGATACCCTTTGGGGCTGTATATATATATACATACATATGAATGACCTTATGCTGGTGCACTACAATACTAAACAGGTATGCATCAGAGGATAATTAACATTTCATAATGTCATAGGCAAACACATATTCCAAAAAATATTCTACGCAACACATTCACATAATAGTTTTTTATGCAGTTACTGAATACAGATTTTAAGGTAATGTTAAGATAATGTTTATTGTGGTAGGGGAGGCCTTGCCTTTAGCTGCACTAAGACAACAGATTTAATTTAACTGCACAGCTAATTACCATTGCCTTCATAAATGTGAAAATTCTAGACAAGTTTTATTTCCTTCCATTTAATCTCATAGAATTCTGATTCTGAACTTATAACCTCAAAAGCTATTTTTAATTTACTTAATCCATGTTGTTCTGACTTTGTGGACTGTAATGTGGTCTTATTGCTTAAATTCAGTGCTTTGACCTCTGCAGGATGTCCTGTAGAAATCTATCACCAGTCTGTTGAACAGCTTAGATCCTTGACTCCTTCAACTCCTTCCCCTGTGGCAAACCCTTCTCTGTATTTACGCTATGATAAGCATGCGACAAACATTTCTATGAGAGAAGAGAAACAATAATACCTTCTCGTTTTATATGAAGTTCGAGGACAAAGGAAATTATTAATTGTGACTTGCTATATGAGCCTCTCTCTATGGGAAAATTCAGCTGGGAGCGGCCCACGCCAATGAGTCGTTATGGAAACAATCTGAGACGGCCTTTCATCTGGAATGGATGGACGCAGCCATGGTTGGTTGCCATGGCTATGTGTGTTGTATTGGGGTTTTATGGGCTACTTCTGCTGGAAGCGTCAGTCAAGGCCAAGAAGCAGCAGAAGACCTGCTGGAATTATAACAGTGCTGCCTTACAGGGTCAAATACTGAATAGCAAGACTGAAAAAACATTGTAAATCTAAACTCATACAAGCACACATGCACTTAGACACATCAAAGAGGGCATATATGGCTGCCTTCAGGCAACAAGGTTAGTGTCCACCTCTCTTTTTTCCACCACATGCTGTTGAATTCTGGCCCTGTTCTCGTCTTCAGCACCTCCAGACCAGACCAACTCTCTGCTCCAATGACAACATGTCAGGCTTGTGAGGATCAGGAGTAAAACTCAATCCCCTCTGCTGCACTGAAGCTCCAAGGGAACTGAGACTATCCACCTCAGTAAGCTTATTTTGAGAAGAACATGTTGCTTTGGCAGTTCTCAGCAGACATGCTCAGTTTGTCTCATGCTCAGCTCCACTCAAAGCACTTGGCTAGGTATTCCTAGAGGATTGGTGGGCCCTTGTCAGGGCTGTTGCCGCGGACGATGGCCAGCCATCACCTTAAAAAAGCATGAGCTCTCTTCCTGGGAAAGCCATTAGAGTAGAGGAAGTCCAGCAAAGATGAGAGAAGTTGAGTCATATGTAAGAGCTCCTTCAGTGGGAAGATCACTGACCATCAAGGGGTCTGGTCCTAGAGAGAGAGAGCTAGGGAGTTAGACTGTGAAGTCTATTAGTGCGCTACTTTCCACATGGACTTCAGCACCACTTCCCTGGTCAGCTGCAGTCCAGCAAGTCACTATTGGGAAGAGGTCAGAGGAAACCTTAATGACAACAACAGTTGGCTGATATCAAGGCCCAATCCCATCTCTTCTTTTTACCCCTACCCCTTGTTTTCGAGTGTCACCTTATCCCCTACAATGGTTATCGTAATTTTTTAACAGAGAAAATACTTACATTTGTGGGTTTCTTTGGTCGCTTGCGCAGCCATCTTCCCGGTTTTTCTTTTTTTTTCTCATAACACTCCGTTTAGAGTGTGCCTCTGAAAAACCTCCGTTTGGAGGGCCATATTGCCCTAACACTTCGCCCTACCCCTCTATCTCAACAAAAATTGGGACACCCTAACCTTAGACGTGAACGTGCAAAACAGGGCTAAGGGCTAAGTGGTAGGGGCAAGAGGTGAAATGGGATTGGGCCCAAGACTCTATGACTTTCTTACAAACATAGATTTGTGATTATTACATTTTTTCAGTTTTAGGTGAATACATAGATTTACTACCAGTCAAACACACCTTCTCACAGAACAGCATCCATATTCATGAAGGATCTCAGATTAGGAATGCTACTCTAGGACCTGTTCCGGTCAGTAAAATCATAGTAAATAAGAGAGGAATCTGATCCTAGATCAGCACTTCTGTTCTGAGATCCTTCAGGAATATGGGTCCTGGTATTATTATTATTATTATTATTATTATTATTATTATTAAATCTGTGCAATCGTCGTCGTGGAATAACTCCAGTCAGAAACATTAGCCTTTGACCAAATAGAGCCCCACCCTCCCTCGTCACAACACAACTGACTGGCTGAAATGCATTATTGAGAACAGACACTCCACTAATTAACTTTTAGTGAGAAATACTTAGCAATTAGTATGAAATAATGGTTATGGTTCTAACTCAAAGCTGCAGTAAATTCCAACATGAAAACTGATCGTTTGAAAAAAGTAGTTTAAGAATATGTATTTATTTGTTTGTTTTGCAAACAAATTCATACACAGGCAATGATTTGAATATTTATATTTGTCTTAGAAACAAAGAAAGCATCACTCAAGTGTGTCAAAATTCGGCCAGGTAGTTCTATAGATACACTACATGGACAAAAGTATTAGGACACACCTGGACCGGACCTTGGTGGTTTCACTTTCCTCCATTCAAGAGATTAAATGTAGAAATTAAATGGAGTGCCTCAGCAACCGTATCTCTGGCCTAGTCAATCAAATGGGGACAGAACATTTATTACGCCGCATTCCTGGCATAATTAAATTTGATCTGTTTTCTGTCAATCTAAAATCTCGTGTTATTTTCTCAACCCTCCAGTCACCGCTTAGCAATCGTTGCTATGCGCAACTTCTTCAGTACGTTATCAGCACCGTCTTGTTTGTGACTAGCTTTGGGAGATCGAGGTCTTCGAACGTTTCGGAAGGGTTTTATAAGAATGAATGTGGAAAAAGCGATGAAACTATACAGTGAGCAGTGACAGGTTCTCAGCTGACCTCAGAATAACTGTGGTTCGGCCGTAGACTTAACTGCCCGCTCTGTTCATCTCTGTACAAGACGCTGCACAGCCCTGAGTACCAGAGTAACTTTGACTTCTTGAGATGTTCAGGTATGCTGCACATATGCTATACGCAAACATATAACATCGCTATGGTAAAAATGTAAAACTTTATAAGCATCATTTACATATTATGCTTGTAAAATGCAAACTCCGTTATTCATGGAGTAAATAAATTAGTATGCTTTTGTCTAGTTCCAGCAGCTGCTCAGTTTAGGCCACAGGCTCCGTAGTTGGCTATATTAGTGATTAGATTAGAAACTATAGCTGTATTTTGTTACCTACACATAACATAATTCAATTGGCATAAGAATGTTCACTGTTAACCAGCATATTGATGGTATAGTATCATGTTAACTTTATTAAGAAATCAACTGGTAGATTAGGCTGTATTTTGTCTCATTAACTGTATGAGATGTTTCACTCGGTCCTATTGCCGCACCTGTATGAAATCAAGCACCTAGTCACGCAGTCTGCCTTTACAAACATTTGTGAAAGAATGGGCCATTCTCAACAGCTCACTGCATTCGAGCGTGGTACTGTAATAGGATGCCACCATTGCAACAGGTCAGTTTGTGAAATTTCTTCCCTCCTAGATATTCCATCAGCTGCGAGTGGTATTACTGAAAAGTTACAGAGTGGGGTCGCAGAGTGCTGAGGCGCATAGTGCAAAAAAGTCACCAACACTCCAAACCTCCTCTGGGATTATCATCAGCACAAAAACTGTGTGCCAGGAGCTTCATGGCATGGGTTTCCATGGCCGAGCAGCTGCATGCGAGCCTTATCACCAAGCACAATGCCAAGTGTCGAATGGAGTAGTGTAAAGCACATTGCCATTGGACTCTGGAGAAGTAGAAATGTCTATCTGGTAGTCTGATGGACAAGTCTGGGTTTGGCAAATGCCAGGAGAACATTACCAGCCTGACTGCAATGGGCCAACTGTAAAGTTGGAAGGATAATGCTATGGGGATGTTTTTCAGGGGTTGGCCTAGGCCCCTTAGTTCCAGTGAAGGAAAATCTTAATGCTTCAGCATACCAAGACATTTTGGACAATTGTATGCCTCTAACTTTGTGGGAACAGTTTGGAGTAGGCCTTTTTTGTTCCAGCATGACTGTTCCCCAGTGCACAAAGCAAGGTCCATAAAGGCATGGTTGGGTGAATTTGGTGTGGAATAACTTGACTGAATTAAATCCATATTAATCCCTATGGATTTAGAATAAGATGTTATAAAAGCTCCTGTGGGTGTAATGTGTAGGTGTCCCAATACTTTTGTCCATATAGTGTAGATGTATAGATAGATTGACTGATATAGCAATAGTAACCAAGTAAAGTGTTAAAATATGTTGAATTAGATTAAATTTAATTAAACATATTTAAATACAAGTGCAAATATTTTCATATATTTGGAGTTTGAACAAAATAGTTTTGTAACACAATGATATAAAGGAGCTGAAAACACTATAGCTGATGGCTTATCTTAGAATAGGAGGCAGCATTGTCCACGCTAAGTAAGTCAACACTGACATTAACTGTTGGGAAACTCTGAGATTGTCCCATCTTTGATGCTGTTTGTGCACTGT